AAAAAGTAACTCAACAAGGAACAACACCTCCTTTAAACACAACTTTAATTAAAATAATTAATAACTCTCAATAACTTTAATTCCAATTAATTAAGGATAAACTCAATAGTGAAAGTGTCTCCATGAAATGGTAACTCCGGATTCTAGTGTACGAACTAAGCCAACAATGAGAGAGATGACACGAGCTAGTACTACGTCTAAAGGCATGAGAATAAACCGGCAACAAGGGATGACATGTAGCAATAATCTCAACGAAGAGCAACTCAACAATAAAAGAAATTCACGTAATGGTAAAAGTGGTAACAACTCCAAATAAAGCATATAAGAGCAAACACGACAAGTAAAAAACACTATTAGAAATTAGCCTATGGAAACCCTTCCAAAACCATGGCAATAGCTATACTAACTGTCCCTGTAGGGATAATGGGACAGATTTGGAATCATTCCAGGATTTAGTGTTACAATAGGTCAATCGGAACAGTTATTTGAGAGGGTTTCAAAACCATCTCCATAGAGTGATATTGTAACGGTTATGTAATTGCTACCATTATTCCATCTATGGGAATGATTTTCGATTATATTGGGACGGTTATAAATCATTGTGGTACAATTATACCATATATTGTTTAAGTCTATTGCGACGGTTTGTGTGATATATTGGAATGGTTTTGTGATATATTAGAATAATTATCATTATTCTATTGCAACGGCTATTTCAACATATTGGAAAGGTTATTAGGGGCTGCTGTTATTATTTCTAGGTCTATTGGAGCGGTTATATTCTCTATCGTAATAATTCAATTATCATTTTTGATATTTATGGAAGAAAAATGAGGAATATTTTCCTATGCAATATAATTTTATACACCATAACTTATATAAACTACGAAATAAAATTAAAATATCCAACTAGCATTATCCATATACAAAAAAAAATGAATATATTGTTTGATCAACAATTCAAAAGTCAAAATAGATGAGTTTGCATATAAAAAGTTCTAAACTACAATATCCTTGAACATGATAATAGAAAGTCTAATAACGATCAACAATACTCAAATGAGGTCTTCGTCACTGTTTTCATCCGCAATCGTTGAACCTACAAAAGACAATCAGAAATAATTTAAACAATTTTTTTTTAAGATAATTGAATGACAAAGTAATTGAATGACAATATCGGCTACTCTAGTTGATGGACCAGCTTTATCATTAGGCTCCCTCCAAAAAATCTTCCCAATATTAGGAATATTCTCTTCCTCCAAATCATACAAATCAATAGGAACTTTATTCCTTGCATAATAAACATCTTTCTCAATTGCATCCTCCACATAAAAAACTTGATTTACTTGAGATGCCAATACAAAAGGGACATCAATACTACATAATCGGTTAAAGTATACCCATGATAACCCATATCCATCAACTTCATTATGAAACCAATCATATTCAAATAGTACAATTCTAAAGTGATCCCAATAATCAATCTCAATGATATCCTGAATAGCTCCACAGTAGAGAACCTCTCCATCGATGGGATTTTGGTCCCTAGAACTAGCAAAACTATCAGTTGTTGCTGATAAAGTCACTTCACTATTCTGAGTCTTCAATGGATCACCCAGTGTCATTGTATGACATAAGTAGTCATTAATAAAATATCCAATATATCGTTCGGCCAATATATTAGGCACTTTAGCTAGCCATCACAAATGATTGGGCACTTTACTGCTTTTAACTTTCTCTTTAAACTAATTGGCGAAGTTCTGATTATGATTCCTTTTTCTTACCCATGCATTTGATCTAGTACGATTATTAATTAAATTCTTATGTTTCCTGTTATGTTTCAAATACAATCATTAGTCCTATAGAATTAAGTTTAGAAATTATAAGATTTAAAATAAATGAAGATTATAATACAAGTGATGGTAATATATTTTATCTTATATGATAAATGCCTCCACTTGTTCATCTCTAGTATTGAATAGAGCATATCTATGTGCCTCAGAACATAGCTGCAAATCCATAGAAAAAATCTTTCGTTTCCTCTTATTCTTACTTCCAATTGGATGGCCTATTTTAGAAAATATAGTTGACAAATTTTGTCCCTCAATGTCCCCATAATCCTCAGTTTGCTACCTACTAAATCTTGTCTTCACCCCATCATGTAGATATCTCGAACAAAAAATCAAACTCTCTTCGGCCAAAAACCCCTCTAACGCTTCTAAATGAGTTCGATTACGAACAAACGCCTTATGTATAAATAAGTTTCTTTCAGTGGAATACGTCCAACGACAATGAGTTGGACCCCCAAGCTTAATTTCATTTATCAAATGGATAGACAAATGAGGCATTATATCAAAATAGGTTGGAGTGAAAAACGTTTCAAGCTCACATGTAATATCATTGATTTTAGTCTGCAATCTATCAAGATCCCCTCGCCTGATAACCTTAGCACATATGGCTCTGAAGAAGTCTCCCAACCTAATCAATGCCAAAGAAATATTCTTGGGTAATGATTTTCTAACAACAATTTGGAGCAAGTAATCCATTATAAAATGAGAACCATAACTCGTGTACCTGGATATTATCATTTTTTTCTCATACACACGACGTGATATATTCGAGGCACACACTTTTGGTAATTTGGAATTTTTAAAGACAGCGCAAAATCACCTCTTCTCTTCTGGATTCATGTAGAAACAATCTTTAGCCAAAGAAATTGTTCCACATATAACATCTTTTATTGGTTGAAGCTCTTTTCGTACTCCTATTTCTTGCAAATCATAGCGAGTATTTACATGATTTTCTGACTTTTCATCTATCTCCAATAATGTCCCAAGAATACTATCACATATATTCTTTTCAATGTGCATCGGATCATGATTGTGCCTCAATTTGTTAGTTTTCCAATCGGTAATTCAAAGAAGATGGATCTTTTCTTCCTTGGACCCTTGTTATCCTGATACTTTTTCTTTTGGCCCTTTCCAAAGACATTCTTGAATTCACTCAGCTCTTCAAGCACTTCTGTACCCGGCAAGGGAGTAGGCGCAATTATGTGATCCTCCTTACCATCAAATGATTTCTTATCTCTTCGAAATGGATGTTCAGGAGGCAAAAATGCCCGATGACCCAAGTAGCACATTTTATGACTATGCTTGAAATATTGAGAGCATGCGCCATAATTAGAAGTGGGGCATGCAACTTTCCCCTTTGTGCTCCATCCAGAAAGTATTGCTAGTGTAGGAAAATTACTAATTGTCTTCATTAAGGCTGCACCCAATTGAAACTTCTCGTTAGATTCATCATCAAATATTTGACACCTAATTTCCATAGTTCCTTTAGTTAAGCAATTAATGGTTCAAGGTATACATCAATATCATTTCTCGGAGATGATGGACCTAGGATGATCATTGACAATATTATATACTCTGGCTTTATGCAAATCCAAGAGGATAGATTATAGTTCGTTAACATACCACGTGCTATGAGAAATGTTTATTGTTTGAAATGGGTTGAAACCATCACTAGAAAGTCCCAATCTAATATTAGGAGGGTCGTTAGAGAATTCAGGGTGCAAAGAATCGAAATCCTTCTAACCATCACCATCAGCAGGATATCTTATATTTACATCATTTGGTCATTCAGTGGTGTGCCATCTCATAGATGCAGCTGTTTCAGGACATATGAATATCCTCTGAAGTCTAGGGTTCAACGCAAAGTACCTTAAAACCTTTGCAGGGGTGATTTTGGAATTTTTATTAATCAAGACATTAACAACATTATTCCATCTAGAAGACTCACACATAGAACAAGTATCTGCATTTACATTGTCATTCCAAAATAATATGCAATCATTAGGACATGCATGTATTTTTTCATAATCAAGACCAAATATTTTTCATGCTTGTTGCCTTGTAGAAAGGCTCAGGTAGCTGAAAAAATTAAAAGACCTCTTTTAACAACTCCAACAAGTCAAAGAATTTCACATTAATCAACCCATGAATGCCTTTAACAAGAACAACTGAATCGTAAAACCTAGTTTGGAGAAATTCTCACACCCTGGATATAATTTTTGTTTCCCTTCTTCCACTAATTTAAAGAATCTTTTTGCATCTTCAGGTCCCTCCCTCACTCCTTTATCTCCCAAATAATCATTGATATTTCGATATATATCATGAAGTAGGCCATCTATATCATCATGTATGTCAGAACCTTCATCATTATTGCTTGGGCATCAAGTCTTTCTCGAGGAAAACCCTTCCCCATGGAAAACGCATTTGGTGTATCCATGAACAAACTAATAAACAATCAAGTGATCCTACACCACAATTCTATAATTCCAAAAACAATTAGCGCACTCTTTGCAAGGGCATAATATTTCATTTCCTTGGGAAGCTTGTTCAAACGCCTTATCTAGAAATTCATTCACTCCTCGTATGTACTCGTCAATCGACCTTCGAAGGCCAATCCACCTTTTATCTTCACTATCCATTAAATTAATTTTATCCTACATGACACCAAAACAACCAGTATAAAATTGGACTTTAGACTTTTAATAAGAAAAATCAGATAAAAAGAAAAGAATAGGAAAAAGAGCCAAATATTCTCAAAATTATATGAATTTCATTGTTGCGAAATTTCCTTAGAATATTGAAAGCAATTTAAATGTCAGGACCCAATTTAGGATCATGACCGGCGCTTAGGAACAAGTGCTCCCAAGTAAGCCTCGTCGGTAATCTATAAAAAATCGGACAGAGTTTCCCCTATTTTAGGACAATCCAAAAATAAACATGTTTTAGAAATTACCAACACAACCAACCAATAGACACCTAAATCATTCATAATCTTCATCAACTAACCAAAAACGAGTTTTCACCGTCATTACCTATGACCATAATAATACCAAACCCATTTTAAAAATACAGAAAGAAGTGCAATAGTAGTAACTAGTTCAATATAAAGAACGAATACTCATGACCCTAATAAAAATGACTATGGAGAAACTCTAAGAGTTCATAAAGAAGGACGATAATAAATAAATAAACTCTTTGCCCACGCGAAAAAGTGCGGGGCTCACCAGGAACTACCAACTCGTGTACTCTAATTAACAAAATCCTCACTCGTGTCAACTGCTGTCTCTGTAAAAAAAGTAGCGGGGAGTGAGTCGCTAGCTTAGTGAGTAATACCACTTAACCACAACCGTTTTTTTATCGGGACAAGTCAGAAATACATGCTTGTATAATAAAATTCAGAAATTATCATAAAAATAAAATGCTCTTTCAAAACGGTAAGATTAATCAGTCTCATTATGTATTTCCTATAACAGAAATCAAATTAACAATTCGGTAATAAACTCGGTAAGCACTGTATCATATAAATTCCTTATGTTTGGGAGGTTTCCAAGAAAGGATCATGTATCTGTATCACTGTGTGGACCCCTTTGTAAAAGGAGTCAAATATAACTGTAGGTCCCTACTCGAGGGAAAAACTTTAACTGTATGGTAGTTCTACCTTACCACTAGCGAGGGCTATTACTATACTCGGTAATCAGTAAATACAAGGTGAACCAGGTCTAACGAACTCGCCGTTAGCTATGGGATCCTTCAAAGTCTCCTCTCATTTATACTCTTTCTTGTAAACAGCAAATACTCATACAAAAACATTTTCAAAATAATAAAAGGCATATAATTTCTTATCAACTCTTGAAATTTTATTTCGGTAACGGTAAGCGTGTTTCAAGTAACAGTAGAACATGTCTAGTAATAGTGATAATAATTTAAACAATTGTAACATCTCAAGTAACAATAAAACATATCTAGTAACGGTGAAAATATTTAGATTAACCGGTAAACATCTCAGTACATTGTTCTGTACCATATCAAGTAAAGGACTTGTCCCACATGCAATTTCAAAGCATTGGTAACACATTTATTTTTCAAAATCATATATAAACTATGCAGGTTATGAAAACACAAATTGAGGTAAGATTACTACTCACAGTAATCATGCGAAATACCAAACTCGTCACCTCGAACGATCCGTACGACTCTCTTCAATAAATCTATAACCACATCAACACCGATCTTATGTTAATTGCCTTATTTAGGCTAAATTCATCACTAATTTAGGATACCCAATCCTATGAGTTTTATATTTTATCATTAATTAGCAGAATAATATTCACCCATGCTATGGGCAATTTAGATTAGTCCAAAATCTTTTAAATAAAAGGCAATTTATATAGTTTATTCCCTGTACTTTTCAATTTCCTTAATCATATATATAATTCGAAACTTAAATATTATTGTCCACAATATCCCTTTTATTTGTATTAAATTTTCAATACCCGATAAAATCCCATACACAAAAATCGGGGTTTAAAGGAATCCACCAGAAACTAAAGAAGAATCAACAAAATGAAAAAACTAACCTTTTCTTTTTGCAGAAGGATAGTTTTCAGTTGAAGCTGCTATATATGTCCAATATTTCTTCCTTTAATCGTAAATTTTACTGCCAACAATTTCCATTCCTCACTTGCTTGTCAATAACGTTGATGTCCAAGTAGTTGTTCTAGCAACTACTCCTTTTTGTCTCTTTAAGTTTGGAGTTGGCTTTCCCAATCCCTAAATCCCGTCATGAGTTAATAGGATGGGCCTTGGCCCATGCAATATTTTCTATTTTATTTTTTTATTTTTTTATTTTATGTATTAGGCTAATTACTTAAATGTTCTAACTTATGTATCGAGTATTACATTCTTCCCACCTTATGAAATTCGGTCCCCGAATTTAAATCAAGTGCCTACCTGTAGACTGATAAGTGAGGATACTTGACCCACATAGCATCTTCCACTTCCCATGTAGCTTCTTCAACTGTATGATTTCTCCATAAGACCTTCATAAACACTATTTCTTTTGACGTAGTTTTTATTTATTTATTTATTTGTCTATCAATAATAGCCATCGGCTCCTCGTCGTAAGTCAACTTCTCATCGAGCGGTATAGTCGGTGCTTCAAGCACTTGAGAGTAGTCTATTATACATTTTTTTAGTACAACCTAGGAGAAAGTGCCCAATAAGCCATAGCTTCCACTCATTCAAGTATCTCATACGGATACATAAACATCGAACTCAACTTATGTCTTTTCCCGAATCGCATCACACCTTTCATGGGGGAGACTCGTATGAGCACTCTATCCCCAATTGTGAATACTAAATCTCTTCTTCTCTTATCTACATAAGACTTTTGTCTGCTTTGAGCTTTGAGCAATATCAATTGGACCCTGTCAATAGCTTCTTGTACTAAGTCGGGTCCCAATTAGTTAGTCTCACCAGCTTTAAACCATCTAATAGGAGAACGACATCTCCTACCATAAAATGCTTCGTACCGTGCCATCTGAATGCTAGACTAAAAATTATTTATGTAGGAAAGTTCGGCTAAAGGTAGATAAGCATCCCAATTACCTCCAAATTAAAGAATACATGTTCTCAACCTATCCTCCAAGATCTTTATAGTACGTTCAGACTTCCCGTCTGTCCGTTGATGAAATGCAGTATTAGGATCTACTCGTGTACCCAATGCTTCTTGAAAAGATATTCAAGGCGTGCGCTAAATTTTGATTCTCTATAATGACTGGTGAATAATAGAACCTATGGACTCAGATAATTTTTCATTTATGTATCTATGCATATTTCAACTCATTATAAGAAGTTTTGACTAGCAAGAAGTGTGCCTACTATATAAGTCAATTTACAATTTCCCAGATATAATCATAACCTCTAATTGTTTGAGGTGCCTGTCAGAAAGTTCACTAAATTCTATTTCATTTTCACTTTGGAACTCGAGTTGCTGTAGTGGTCTTGCAAGTCGCAAATTCTTGCCTTGACATGCTAGCAAGTCAAATAGTTAGAAATAAGAAAAAAAAAACTTTCTTCTTTCATTTCTCCCAAATACAATTTTTTTCTAGTTATGATACATTTTATTGGACCCTAAATGTATAGTGTATCTAGAGTTGTGAACTCCTCAAGAATAACTTGTCTTAATCCATCTATATTTGGTACACATAACCTGCTACTTAGTCGAAGAATACCATCACTATCAATAGTCATGTTCTTGCTTTTACTAGCTAGGGTCTCATCTCGATATTTACATAATCGCTCATTTTTATATTGAGTGGACTTTATGTTCTCCACTAGTGAAGACTTGGCTTTATCACAAGCCAATAATGTATTTATTCTCCATACTAAACTTGATACAAGTACCATTTAATCTCTACATATTTTAAGCCAAAAGTCCTTTTGACAAAACTATATGTGTCAAATTGCTCATAGGTTTTTTTTCTGCTCAATGCATCAACCACCATATTAGTCTTTCCATAATGATATCAATTAAAACAATCATAGTCATTGGATAGTTTCATCTACCAAAACTGTCAAAGATTTAGATTTAGTGAAAAATATTCTTTAATCTCTCGTGGTCAGTATAAATCTCACAATTTTGCATTATAAGTAATGCCTCCAAACCTTCAAGACAAAACTAAAACCACTACAACTAACTCTAAGTCATGAGTAAGATAATGTAGGTCATGCTTCTTGAATTGTCTCGAAGCGTAAGATATAACACGATTATATGCATAAGAACACATCCTAATTCATCCGTAAAGCATCAAAAAAATATCGTGAGTCCTCCAAAATATATTGGTAAGGCTAATACTAGGGTAGTTGTTAAACATGTTTTGGGTTCCTGAAGCTCTGCTCACATTCCTTCGTCCCTGGGAACTTTGCATTTTTTTTGTTGTTGTGTTAACTAGGTTAGTGATGCTGCTATTTTGTAAATATCCTATACCAAATTCCAGTAGTAGTCTGCCAAGACAAATAGCTACAGATCTCTATAGCAATAGTTGACCTTTCCCATTTCTGAATTGTTTCTATCTTCTTCGGATTTACCATAATTACATCCTTAGTTACAATAAGCTCGACCTGAGTTTATCCAAAATTCACGCTTCAAGAACTTGGTAAAAAGCTAATTTTTCTAGTAACGTCTATAACATATATATATTTTTTTGTTGGTACTCGTGTTCTTCCTAGCTACGAGAATATACCAAAATATCTTAAATAAAAACTACAGTACTTTTTTTTTCTAGAAACAACTCGAATACCATATTCATTATATCTTATAAAAGCGACTGGAGAATTTGCCAGTCCAAAAGGCATTATAAGTAACTCATAATATCTGTACTGAGTTCTAGAGATTGATATCGAAATATCTTCCTTTATTATTTTAAGCTTATAATAACTAGACTGGAGATCAACCTTTTAAAAGTGGGAGGCTCCTTGTAACTGATCAACAAGTTATGTATACAAGACAATGGATATTTCTTGTGTATTGTTATCTTATTTAATTATCTGTAGTTGGCGCACATTTTTTAAAGACTTATCCCCTTTTTTTTGAATCAATATGGGTGTATCCCATGGTGCAACACTCAATATGATAAAACCTGTATCCAATAAGTCTTCAAAATATATAATTTACTCATCTCTAAAACCTATAATCCCTTTTTGGACAAAACTAGCCTTTAAAGTCCACCAAACCTAATAGTCTTTCCATAATAATTGAGGGTAGCGTGGTAAAACAATAATTAATCCATATCCATCTGTACATTAGAATCAACCGTATATATCAAGTACAACTTGGTTATCTAGGGTTTTCTTCTCTTAACTTGAATCTTAAAAGTTTTAAACACTTCTAACTACTATATATTTCTCACAGATGTGGCAACCCGAAAAGGATCGCTTGATATCCCAAATCATTCTTGATTTTTAAATCTTCTACTCATATTAAAATTCATACTAAAAGATATTATAATCTCGATCTTCTTATGTGAGTTCTTGCATGCCTATCATGTCCATATTTTCAATCTTTCTGGTAAATGCAACTGCTAATGAAGAGGTTCAAGTCTTCATATATGCATTTACTATCTTATTTAAATAATTAACCAACCTTTCAACAAGCCTCTAAACTTAAGATGTCGCTCGCATATCCAGCTGAGAAAGTTTGGTGTTATATGTATTTATACCTATCGTCTAAATCAATTTCTTAAATGATCTAGCAGGCAAGTTCACGTCACAAGCTGACAAGAAGAAAGTGATTCATAAGTCCTTTAGTGAAATTATTCTCAAATTAGTTGTGTTGCTCTTGTTGGCATCTCTAAGTGTACACTAGCATTTCATGTATTCGTCATATTCTCTTATCTAAAAGTTGCCTGTTCCATAGACCTCTTCATGAAATATCCTATAGCTCATAACATGGTAAGTATTTTATTAAAACCTTTAAGGATCCTTTGAACTATCAGAAATAGTAAACTTAGTTGTTTCAACTTTAGGAACTTTATTAAAAATATTTTATTGTTTCCTACAATCTTCTAGGTCCATGAGGACTTAAGAGCCCCTATTTTGTTGCTCATTATTCTTACGTTTATCCATTATATCCATAAAGATTTCAATTTTTTTTAATTCATGGAGGTAAGTACCTTTTTTTTATAGTACTCCTCTATCGCTGTAGTGGTAGATTAGTATAAATTTTCGAAATAAACCCTATTACGCGTCTTACCAGAAAGCACCTCATACGGCACAATGAACCTTTCACTGGTTTTGTATACTACTTATGTAGCATTTCTTTGCTTGGAGATGGTTGCATGTCCATTGGCGAAATTTGACGTCTTTGACGTTTGAACCTCTAGCCAAATTTTATTATAGGGTAATTGGTCCGAGCCATACACGAATAAAATAAGTGATGATAGATTCAGTTATCTGACCCTAATCGTCACACACGTATGGAGGAATAAGAAAGAAAGACAAGACACATCCTATCACACCCTCGCAGAATCACGATTATGGGAATGACCGGCTACATAACCATAATTGAGATTCTACTACCGGCGTGTGCTCCATTAGTCACAAGAATAACCTAGAGCTCTAATACCAACTTTGTCAATACCCAATTTAGGATCATGACCAGCGCTTAGGAACAAGTGCTCCCAAGTAAGCCTCGTCGGTAATCTACAGAAAATCAAATAGAGTTTCCCTGTTTTAAGACTATCCAAAAATAAACCTATTTTAGAAATTACCAACATAACCAACCAATAAGCACCTAAATCATTCATAATCTTCATCAACTAACCAAAAATGAGTTTTCATCGTCATTACCAACCTTATAACCATAATAATACTAAACCCATTTCAAAAATACGGAAAGAAGTGCAATAGTAATAACTAGTCCAATATAACAAATGAATACTCATGACGCTAATAAAAATGACTATGGAGCAACTCTAAGAGTTCATAAGGAAGGACGATAATAAATAAATAAACTCTTCGCCCACGCGAAAAAGTGCGGGGCTCACCAGGAACTATCAACTCATATACTCTAATTAACAAAATCCTCGCTCGCGTCAACTGCTGTCTCATTAAAAAAAATAGTGGGGAGTGAGTCGCCAGTGAGTAATAACACTTAACCACAACCATTTTTTTATCGGGACAAGTCAGAAATACATGCTTATATAATAAAATTCAGAAATTATCATAAAAATAAAATGCCCTTTCAAAACGGTAAGAATAATCAGTCTCATTATGTATTTCCTGTAACAGAAATCAATTTAACAATTCGGTAATAAACTCGGTAAGCACTGTATCATATCAATTCCTTATGTTTGGGAGGTTTCCAAGAAATGATCATGTATCTATATCACAGTGTGGACCCCTTCGTAAAAGGAGTCAAATATAACTGTAGGTCCCTACTCGAGGGAAATACTTTAACTGTATGCTAGTTCTACCTTCCCACTATCGAGGGCTATAACTGTACTCGATAATCGGTAAATACAAGGTGCACCAGGTCTAACGAACCCGCCGTTAGCTATGGGATCCTTCAAAGTCTCCTCCCATTTATACTCTTTCTTGTAAGCAGTAAATACTCATACAAAAATATTTTCAAAATAATAAAGGTCATATAATTTCTTATCAACTCTTGAAATTTTATTTCGGTAACGGTTAACGTGTCTCAAGTAACAGTAGAACACGTCTAGTAACAGTGATAATAATTTAAACAATTGTAACATCTCAAGTAACGGTAAAACATATCTAGTAACGGTGAAAACATTTAGATTAACCAGTAAACATCTCAAGTACACTGTTCGGTACCATATCAAGTAAAGGACTTGTTCCACATGCAATTTCAAAGCATTGGTAACATATTTATTTTTTCAAAATCATATATAAACCATGCAGGTTATGAAAACACAAATTGAGGTAAGATTACTACTCACAGTGCTCATGCGAAATACCAAACTCGTCACCTCGAACGATCCGTACGACTCTCTTCAATCAATCTATAACCACATCAATACTGATCTTGTGTTAATTGCCTCATTTAGGCTAAATTTATCACTAATTTAGGATACCCAATCCTCCGAGTTTTATATTTTATCATCAATTCGCCGAACAATATTTACCCATGCTATGGGCAATTTAGATTAGTCCAAAATCTTTTTAAAAAAGGCAACTTATATAGTTTATTCCCTGTAATTTTCAATTTCCTTAATCATGTATATAATTCGAAACTTAAATATTATTGTCCACAATATCCCTTTTTTTTGTATTAAATTTTCAATATCCGATAAAATTCCATACACAGAAATCGGGGTTTAAAGGAATCCACCAGAAACTAAAGAAGAATCAACAGAATGGAAAAACTAACCATTTTTTTTTTGCAGAAGGATAGTTTTCAGTTGAAGCTGCTATATATTTCCAATCTAGCTTCCTTTAATCGTAAATTTTACTGCCAACAATTTTCTTTCCTCACTTGCTTGTCAATAACGTTGATGTCCAAGTAGTTGTTCCAGCAACTACTCCTTTTGTTTCTTTAAGTTTGGAGTTGGCTTTCCCAATCCCTAAATCCCGTCATGTGTTAATAGGATGGGCCTTGGCCCATGCAATTCTTTTTTTTTTTATTTATTTATTAGGCTAATGACTTAAATGTCCTAACTTAAGTATCAAGTGTTACATTAAACTACCACTTCTTTTTTCCTTGGTTCACAAAAGAATTCAGTATTTGAGTTGCTGAACGATTGCTTTACACTCAAAAGATATATCAAATATGTACGAATCAATGTAATGATCCTAAGTTGAAATAGGAGCTAATGCAATTCTAACATAGTTTACTGGTGAATTTGGTTATGTTATTACATTTATAGAAAGTCTTTAATCTGGATTACTCTATTTCCAGATTTGCTAGCTATAACCGACTTATAAATGTATTGTCCTTTTATTGCATTCTATCAGCACCTTACCAAGGTTGATTGCATGAACCAGACTTCGTTTATGTGCAGAATAAACCAAGCTTTCGATATTTCAGTAGTTAAAGTTCTGAAGAAACCCTTCTGGAGAAGACTATATATAACCAGATTAACAAAGGAGGCATTTGCAGTGCGCCAAAAAAGCCATGAAGAAGACATAAAATATTATGAGAGGGGAGAAATAAGAGTTTGAAGTTCTGTATAGGAGACCTGTACATCAGTATCTTCTTAAATGCAAATACATTTTACTGAATGACAATGCTAGAATTGAATTACCAGAATCAGAAAACTCAGAATAGTACAGATGAAAATGCTAGAATTTAATTGAATCCTCTGTATACCAAGTAACCTTGAAGATATTAGATAGCAAATATCTTCTTCCCGACATCATCAGTGTAGGTCATTTTCTAAAAAAAATATTTAAACGGTACACCATATGAAGAAATAGATCCTCCTAAATCACTAGACAATTAACATTCATAACCTCTTTGTTTTAGTACAAGCAAGAATGTAATCCACATCTCTTGCTTTGATAATAATAAAATAAACCAAAAAAACTAGAAGATAAAAGCATTATGCTCCCTACCGATTCTTAATTCCTCGTTGAAACTCTACCTCATGCAGAGCAGCAATCTCTCTTCACAACCTTCTTTTTGTTGAATGCATGGAAGCAGAATCAACATAATTGCACATGATTCGTTTTCACTATCTAAAGTCTCAAGTGCTTTGGCTAAAATTCACCAATAGATAATGATCCTACAGTGCACAAAATAAATGAGCATAATCTTATTTAGAAGATGTATTGAGACCAAATTCTACACACTCATAAGATAGGACAAGAAACTAAGGATGAAGAACTCCAACAACAATAACAACTACGCCTCAATTACAAGCAAGTTGAAGTTCGCTATATCTATCCTCACTGACCATATAAACTCGTCTCAACAGCAATAGTTCTTTCATGGATTCAGCCCTGTTTAAATTTGTAAATATTAGCTACAGATATATGTCGCAACTCTGATTTCAATTGGACTGTAAATACCAACATATAAGTTCATCGTATTAGGTGCTTCAATGTCTTCTATCCATGCTCCCTTTCATTTTAAGTGAAAGCAGCACACGCATAATCGGACAAAAGTAAAAGAATGTGTTTATCAAAAATATTACTAGAGAAAGAAAAAATGAGAATATCGAACAGCGATAGCAAACATCGAACAAGGAAAATCTCATGGTTTCAAATACAAAATCAAAACCTAACAAATAATCGCCCAATTTTGTAAACTAGAAATCACAAAATGTATCATGTAATACAAACAAAGCAGAAGCAAAATAATGGGTTAATCAGAACTATTACCAAATAAAGAAAACAGAGGGGAAAAAGAAAGCAGAAGTGAAAAAATAAAGCGAAAATCGAACAGTTATACAAACATCGAACAGGAAAAAATTGATAGCCTACCTCAGAGATTGTCGTATGTTAGCCGAAACTGGTCGTCATTCACCGGCAGTTGTCGTCCTTTGTCGGAGCTGGCCGACAGAGTTCGTGGATGGTGAGATCGATGTGTTCTAGGTTGAGGCTGAGAGAGAAGATGTCTAATTTCAAGTTTTGAGAGTTAGAGAGAGTGAAGGAACATTTCATAATATTTGTTTTAACTTAAAAAATATATTAAAGAGTTATTAAAATATTAGTGGGGTCATTTATTTAAATTTATTTTTAATAAATATGTAGGAGGGAAAGTAAGAAGGGAAAATAAATATACTTTTATTTTACCAAACTGTTCCCAGAGATAACTCTATCGTATTGCTTTTACAAACCGTCTCCATATATTTACTTATGGTGNGTGGGAAGTTCTTGGAGGGAAGGATGTCGGGGGTCTATTTGGAAACAGCCTCTCTACCTCAGGGTAGAGGTAAGGTCTGCGTACACACTACCCTCCCCAGACCCCACTAAGTGGGATTATACTGGGTTGTTGTTGTTGTTGTTGTTGTTGTGACGGTTACTATACTACTGAAACGGTTATTCTTCAGAAGTGTCCCAGAAGCCTTTTGACTCTATTGGGATGGTTAAAACCATTCCAATATATGATTTATTGTAACAGTTAAAAATCATTGCAAAATAACCGTTCCAATAAAATCATTTTCTAGTAGTGCGAATGTGACATGTAACAACAACTTCAAATAAAGCATGTGATAGTGTACATGTCAAATAAAAGATATAACATGTGCTAACAATTCCAAATAAGTACATAAAAGATGCCTAAGAGTCTAGACTGGTCAACTTCCACATATAAGCCTGAGTACGTACGCGTCACCTCGCGTACATGGCTTTCACATGACATAAATAGCACAAACAACTCAAATCATAGGGGTAGCTCCCCCACACAAAGTTAGGCAAGATACTTACCTCAAAGAAGCTAGATCGATACTTTAAAATGACTTTTTAGAGTGAAACAATCTCCGGACGATTCAAATCTAGCCAAAATAATTTAATATCATAAATAAAAACTATAGAAAATGATTCCACATAATAAAACTTCGATCTTTAATGAAAACTGAAAAGTCAACCCCGGACCCGCACTTGAAAATCCGACAAAATTTATAAAATCTGAACACCCATTACGATACGAGTCCAACCATAACAAAATTATTCAATTCCGACATCAAAATCGTCCTTCAAATCATCATTATACATTTTTGAAAGTTTTCATGAAAATTTACATTTTCCTACCATTCAAACCACAAATTATATATTAAAAATAAAGATAGAATGATGGAATATAATCAAATACGGATAAAGAGCATTTAACCCAATCCAACACGTGAAGAACATCTCAAAAATCGCTCAAATCCGATGTCTACAACTCAAGATATGCATAAAATGACCAAACCCTCAAATTATAAACTTTTCTGCCAGAGATTTTGCTTTTGCAGTCAAGGTCGCTTCTGGGGAAAATAATCCACTGCTGCAGAAAAGCCTGGCCTCTGCCAAAGTCGCTTATGAGCTCGTGCTTCTGCACTTCGAATTCCGCTTCTGTGATTGCACAGATGCACCCAGATATCCGCTTTTGTGGCTCCTACCTTCTCACACAAAGCCCACACCTGCGCCTTGTTGGCCGCTTCTCCGGCCCTTTATCCGCAGATGCGATGGCATTAGTAACCAGGCCTTTCAGCATACCAATAAGTTTCAAATCCAAACATACCAATAAGTTTTATATCATAACACGGACATGCTTGAGACCTCAAATCACATCAAACATCGAAACAACGAATCGTACCTCAAATCGAACTTTGTAAACTTTCAACTTCTATAACTCGCGTCAAATCATATCAAATCAACCCGAATAACCTCAAATTTTGCATGCAAGTTCCAAATGAAATAATAGAGCAATACCAACTCCCAAAATCGAAATCCGAACCCGAGCTCAACAAAGTCAACTCCCGATCAAACCTCTCCACTTCCAAACCTTCAACTTTTCAGCTTTCGCCAAAATGCATCAAATTAACCTACGAACATCCAAATTCAAATCCAAATCTGGCCACATGCCTAAGTCCAAAATCACCACACAAAACTATTGGAATCATCGAAACACCATTCCAATGTCGTCTTCACAAAAGTCAAACTCCGGTCAACTCTTTTTCCTTAAGCTTTCAAAACAAGAATTGTTCTTCCAAATAAATCCCGAATCGTCCGAAAACCGAACCTGGTGATACAAGCAAGTAATAATACATAGTACGAAGCTACTCGAGACCTTAAGCCACCGAACGGGACGCCAATTTCCAAAACAACTGGTCGGGTTGTTACAATTGTATCAGGAGTTGATTTAGATATTAATGTATTAGATACAAGTTAGATACAACTGTAATATAGGTACGAGACATTTATGATACAATTATGTCTTAGGTATTGATGTATCAGATAAAATTCAGATATATATAATTTTGATATAATTATCATACAGTTCCTGCAACTTCTTCTTTTTCGAGTTTCAATCTGAATTTTCACCTAAAACCAACTCTATACTTAACCAATCTCCCTCAAAATTGAGACATAAAATCCAAAGGATATTCTCAATCACTTGCAAAAACACCTAATCCAAATAAATCACAAAATCGTAAAACACGAATATCAAATTCAAAGTTTTAAAGCTTTTTAATTTAATATTTAGTAGCCATATTAATTTAATTAATCAATTGATTATTTTTTTCATTAATCAAATGTAGTACAGTAAGCCTTATGTGTGTTGATGAGTGCCAAAATATTATGTGTGATTTTCGTCGTAGGAAATGAGGACCAATATTAAGGTGAAAGCTACATGAATTGGCAGTAAAATTTGCATAGAAGAAGAGAGAGAGATGAGAGGAAAGAAAAAAAGAAAGAATGTAACTGAATCCCTTAATTGACGGTATTAATAATGGGGTGAGATACTTTTAAAGGGGTTGTATATAAATTCTTAAAAAAGTTAAGGTATCTATTGAAAACTGAAAAACTTTGAGAAAAGTAATAAATAAGTCCTTATTATATTATAGTATATATAGGGAAAAATCCCACTAGAGCTAGAACCGTCCATGTTGTATTTCCCAATGTTGGAGCTGCATATCACGCTATCCACACTCCGATTGTTATACCCCATGCGTGTGAGATGTTATAGTCTTACATTGGCCAAGTGTACTGGATTATTATTTCCTTATATAATTTTGAGCAATCCTCATATTTTGAGGTAATTTTCAGAGTGGATTAGTCTTAATGTCTTATTTTCTTTTAACATTAAATTTTCAGTATATTGATTAGCTAATCTAATAAAGACAAAGGTGTTATAAGTGGATTAGGCTCAACGACTACTTTTTGAGTCACTCCATTTCCTTTTCATGTATAAAAAACATACTAAAGATGGTAGGTGTGGAATTTCACTATTATAGTCTCTTTTTTTTTTTTTTGCTAAAATGGAGAATTACATTAATTAAAAATAGAATTACAAACAATGTTCTGAATGAAAGGAGCTAGTGCCACTTACATCAAAATCTAGTTGCATGAAAGTAAAAAGGGGAGGTTCTTCAAAAAAACAAGATTGATTGTGATGATAATCCCATGTTTGATTTCCCAAATTTAGCTAGCGCGTCAGCCACTCCATTGCCTTCTCTAAGCGTGTGGGTAAGTTGTTGCACGTTCAGTTTTTGGATCATCGACCTACATGAGAAAATAAGTTGTGAGTATTTTGGATTGCCAGTTTGAAGGATTTGGAGTAATACTGTGTGTACATTTCAATAATTAGGGGGAAAATATTTTTGCTAAGAGCAATGGTTAAACCATGGTAGAGTGCCAGAAGCTCCGCTTGTAAGGCATTTGTGCATGGTAAGCGTTTTGCAAAACCATAGATCCATTGTCCTAAGGTATCTCGAAAGTCTCCCCATCCTCCTCCATGATGACTTTTGGATCATAAGATCCATCAATGTTAAGTTTATAATGTGTGTAGGTGGTTTGTGCCATGAGGTAGTTTCCCTAGTGCTTTTGATTTTTTTCCGAGTGATATTAGTTAAGTAGGTTATTTGTGTAGCTAGTGAGATAATAGTGGCATGGTTTATTGGTTGATTTAGATTGTTGTGATGATTGTTATTACAGTTTAGCCAGATTTTCCATAATAGGATTGGTGTTAATATAAGGAAGGGTATAGAAACTTTGGGTGTTATTTTAATTAGTGTATACGAGGTACATATTTATGTAACCAATCGGTGATGTTGGATGAGGGTGTTGCTATTCATAGGTGATGCTATAATGTGTGAGCTGGTTTGTAGTGTAGAAAGATGTGAGGAATGTCTTCCCTAAAATTAAAGCAAATAGGGCAGTAAGGATTGTTAGTGATTCTTCTGTGGTAAAGGAATGTTTTCGTGGGAGTTTTCCCTGAGTTAGTAGCCATAGAAAGAATTTTATTTTTGGTAAGGTTGATAGTTTCTAAATCCAATTATGAGGGAACTTGAATTTGCAGTGGTTGCTTTGGTGTAGGATGTGGAGGTAGGCAGTAGATGAGGTGAAATTGCCGTCATGTGTAAGGTGCCAGTAAGGGGTATCTACTCCTTGATGATTTGTAAAAATATGGGTGTTGTTGATAAGGGAAATAATATTTGGTGGTAACATAAATGAGAAGCTAGAGATATCCCAGATTGAGTTGGATATGAGGGAAGCTACATGTTTATTTAGTTCATGTTTAGGTATGGGGCCTTAGATAAGGTGACGAAGTGAGATATTGTTTGCGATCCAATGATCATGTAATGACTCGGCCAGTCGTTTCATGAATTACCGTTCTATTTTTCCCATTTCTGCTTCCTTGTGAGTTGTTTGGTTGTATTTCATCATATCATGTTGGTGGTGTTTTGCTCGAAGTGGTCTTAGGGTGGAATGAGACACTTAGTCTCTTAAGTTGGTTATTTAGTTGGTAAAGTCAACCGGAAGTTGACTTATAGGTAAATGATCTCGAAATTGGGGTTTTATGGTTTGGATAGCTTCGTTAGGTGATTTGAAACATGGGAGAGTGTTCAGAATGTATTTTGGAGGTCTGGGGGTAGATTTAGGCTTGAATTGGTGAAATTGAAATTTTGGCATTTTCCGGTCAATAATGGAAATC